AAGCCTTCACAGCCAGGCGGCGCAAAGTCGCAAAAAAATATCTGCAAAAAGAGGAAAGAAGGAACCTTTTATAACGGAGCTAATTACTACTGCTTTGACTCAAAGCCGACGGCAACGCACGCGCGCTTGACTCCACTTTTTGTGTCCCTTTTTTTGGGTTTCGGGTTTCGTTCCCCCTCGTGGCTGCACGGCACCGTCTCCATGCGAGCGTGTATTCCTCTCCTGCTTGCTTCGCTGTATAATGGCGGCTGGGAAAAGGATAAAGAATCCGGATAAAGAAAGCCGGAGGCGGAGCGCGGAGCGGGCGGCCCGGCAAGCAGGGCTCGGGCCGGCGGAGGCCCGTGCGCCTCATCTAGGATTCGATCAGAAAGACACGGGCACTCTCGAGAAAGAGAGGGAAAACAGACCACACGCGGAGTAAACACCATCTGCGTCCTTTGAGTTTATTCAAAGATTCAAAGCAGCTCCCTTTGCTGCTCGCTAATTTGGGGTGTAGGCTCATCCCCGAGCAAGTTAAGACAGTTTCCTTCAATTTGGCCTGCCTGTCCCAGCCGGGCCGGGCGGCGCGGGCGGCGGCCTGAGCTGAAAGGCAAAGTCCCCTCCCCGCGATGGACGCCCCCATCCTCATCGCCCGCCCCGCCCCGCCCCGCCCCGGGCCCCGCACTTAGCCGGCAGCATATTAAGCTGACCAGAAATTTGGAATGGCGACCCCCAGCCTCCAGCGCCGCGCCGCGCGCGCTCCGCTCGACTTGCTCGCGGCAAAGTGACAGCGAAACGGAATTTGGTAACGGAATTCGTAAGCAGACTTAAGAAGTGCGCGTAAACGCGCGAGGCAGACACGGCCCCTTTTCATAAACTGCAGGGCGCGCGGCGCGGCGCGGCTCGGGCCAGTCCCTTAAAAATGCATGAGCTCCACCCCGCGCTGCTTTCAGACGGTAATCAATACAGCCACATGAGGCCGAGAGGCTGCGGCACGGCCAAGGCCCGGCACGCGTTAGAAGGCCGCGTTTTGACGCGCCATCGTGCATAAAATGTATACAGCCCTCTGGCGTGTTTGCGCCGCGCCCACGCCGCCACACGCCGCCACACGCCGAGGCCGGACACTCCGGAAATTCGCGTTAAGCCAGGGAGGGCTGGAGGCTGAGGGGCCGGCGGCTGAGGGGCCGGACCCCGGGCCAGACCGCCGCGCACACAGCGCATCCCTGCCGGCCGGCCTGCCGGCGTGGCGCCCCTTAATGGAGGCACACCGCCGCGCGCTGGCCGCCCGGCACCCCGAGGCCGTCCCGGACGTCCCGGACGTCCCGGACACTCTGCGGCGCGGCGGTGTGCGGCGGGGCCAGACAGGCCGAGGCCGCCGCCGACGACGCGACGGGCCCTCAAAGCCTCGTAATTGGATCTCGTCACCGTTTAGCATACCGTAAATATTTGTCCCTAAAAGATGGCGCTTCATTCTCCTCCCTCAAGCGGCGCGGCGAGGCGCGGCGGCGGCAGGGTCCGCACGGCGAAGCACCCCGAGGCCGAGGACGCGACGACCCCCCGCCCCGCCCCGCCGTCCGGACAGAATGGCCGCCCAGAGACGGCAGAATGCGGCGGCGCTGCGGATAGGCCGGATAGAGAGGGAGGGAAAAAAACACACAATCGGCCCACCAGGGGTAGGCTCAGGTGTGGCGGCTATTGATTACGAGTGTAGCCAAGCTGGCGCTGTCTAGCGCTGTCCGACGCGAAAGAATAATGCCACTGCTGTTCACCGATTCACCCTTTCGCAGCTACTCGCCGCTTTTTGCAGGGCGCGCAGCCCGGGCCGTCTTTTTATCCGTTCCCTGCTCGCCGACTGCCATGACATCCCCGGCCCGGCCCGGCCATTCTCGCCATCGGGCTGCCGTCCTGCCCGTCCGGGCACATTGCGATTCGAGAACAAAATCCCGCGATCCCCTTCCTAATCCCGCCTGAACGGACGGGCGGGGCGGCCGGGGAGAGGAGGGGGCAGGGCCCCGGCCGTTCTGCAGGGAGGGCGAGGTGAGGGCCCCCGCTGGTCCCCTCTGGGGCCTCTGGGGCTGGCCGTCGCGTCCGCCGCAGCAGGACACGGCAGGACAGGCAAGGCAGCGCGCCTGGTCCCGGCTAGCTCGCCCGCCTGCGGTCGGCTGTGCATCGCTTTGCCCAGGCTTTGCCCAGGCTTTGCCCAGGCTTTGCCGCAGCGCAGGTTGCCTACCTGGGCGGCATCTCTCGGCGGCTTCCCCCGTCGCACGAGTCCCAGCCGCATCGCCGCATCGCCGCATCAACGTCAGGGCGCCCCGGGATCGACCTCCGCAAAATAAAATCGACGAGAAATTGCGTTCGGCGGGCCTGGGGCCGGGGGGCACGGACAGGGCGAGGCTGACGTTGGAGTCGAGGCGTGGCGACGTAAGGGGAGGGAGGGGAGTACTTCTCTCGCCGCGGTGACTCCCCGTGGGGTACCGCAGAGAGCGCCGCCATGGCGCCGCGGACAGGGTCCTCCAGGGCGGCCAGGGCGGCCAGGGCGGCCAGGACGGCCAGCAAGGCGAGTCTGAGTTGAGTACCCAAGCCCTTCCAGCGTGCTTCCAGCAAGGCAGGCCCGGGGGACATCCTTAATTCACGGCATGCAAAACTCCCGGCGAGGGGGGAGGCAGCGGGGCCACCCCCTCTCCTGGCCGGCCAGGCCGGGCCAGGCCACGTCGAGGTTCATACGAAATGCCATGGACGGAGCTGCAGCGCTGCCCGCGGCAATGTGCGTCTTTTTGTCTGGCCGCCCCGCCCCGACCCGCCCCGCCTGTCCTTTTCTCCCAGGCAGGAGGCAGGCCCCGTCGAGTCCCAAGGGCGGCGATGGCAGCGGATGGCGGCCAAGGCGGCGGCAGCAGCGGCAGCGTGTGCAGGTGCGCCATCTGGATGCTCCAGTGAGTAAATGTCTGCCATCACCGCGCCGTGCACGGCGTGGCGGGGTGGCGTGGCGGGGTGGCGGCGCGGGGAGCGGGAGGCGTGCCAAGAAGATGGAGAGAGAAAAGAGCGAATAAAAAGAAGGGTGCTGCTCCACCCCGCCCCGCCCCGCGTCGCGTCGTCATTTTATCTTTTGCGTCCAACTTTATCGCCGTCCTGCCGCGCCACCTCCACCGCCTCCTCGAGCGCTTCGCCTCGGTTCGCTTCGGTTCTGCCGACGGACCGACGGACGGCCTGACGGGCATTCGTCAAGGGCCTGGCTGCCTGGCTCCAAGGCCCTCCTACATTAGCCGCACTAATTTGTCACCGCCGGCGCGCTCGGCTTGGCCCGTCTTTCCCACGACGACACGCCGCGCCATGGTTCGGCGGCGACATCGTTTTCTGCCGGGGAACAAAAATCCGCTGCAGAGGGAGAGGGATCGCGCGACGCGCGGCTGATGCTGATTGCTGCGACCTACCCCGCCCCCCAGAGACTTCTACAGCGGTCCATGACGGCCACGTGCTCGAGCGGCGAGGAGTATCGGCAGCCCGCCACAGCGTGACGGACTGTCCCGCGCTGGCGTGCGAGCGTACCGAGACGTACCAGTGCCGTAACTCGTGGCACCGATCGCAAATCAAAATTAAGTCATTCGGGGGTAAGTCACCACAGGCCGCTCACGGGAAAGGCGGATTTTCTTTCCGACATTTATCAAACCCGACCTTACTTTGCTGGATCGTTGTCTGATATTTAGGGCCCGGTCCCGCCCTTAGCCGGTATTAGTTCCTGACAAACTACAGGAACACACGGCCCACGAGAAACGCTGTGGCAGTGGGCGTCCAGAGGCAACCTAACCTCTTCGCGCAGCATCCCTTCGCCTTCGCCTTTTCAGCAGCGGCGCGGCCCGCGACTTTGGTGAGTTTTATTTCCACGGCCACGGCGGGACATTGTTTCACAAACAACAGAAACCATCAGGCGACGTGTCGCCGGGCGCAGCTCAAGAGGAAATACGGGTGTTCTCAGAACACACACACACACACATGCACACACACAGACGGGTCCGGGGGTTGCAAAACAAAGTGCACCGTGCGCGAAGCAGTGCCTCACCTTGGCCCGGTGCTGGCAGCGACAGTGGTGCAGACTCGGTGTAGAGGACGCGACACAAGTTCAACTCGCGGGAGGCGGCTCTGGGCTGCAGCCGCTGGGCCCTGAGCAGACAGGCGCCCCGACCCCCGATTCGTCCCGCAACGCGCAACGCGCAACCCGCACGACACGGCGCGCTCCGCTCGGCTCTCCCGCAGGCAGCCCGGCTAGAGCCCGGCGAGGGGGTGGTCTCGGAGGCAAGGGGGCTACTGTCACTGGGACTGGGGCAGCCCTGGCCCGCGCGTCCACCCAGCCCCCGCCCAGAGGGGTCCCGCCAGGCCGGGGGTGGGGCTCGGCAAGGGGCGGGCAGGGGCGGGGAGCCCCGATCGAAACTGATACGGAGTGAGTCTGCGCCGTGCAGCCTCAGCCAAGCCTCAGCCCGTACTCCGACGGGGGTCCACCGGGCCCCACCCCAACAGCCTCGCCTCGCAGCCTCGCAGCAACCTTGGTCCAGAGGCCACCCGCCCTAGCCTCGTGGCATGGCTTCGTGAGTCTTGTGTAGCCTCGCTCGGGTCTCGGGCCGTCGCAGGGAACGACAAACGTCAAGTCTTTGAAGACCAGCGCGTAACAGGTTAACAGGCGAGCGGGTTGCCTATGCTCGACTCTGCGGGCGCACTGCGTAGAGGCTTCGGTCGCCTTCCGGCTTCCAAATCTCAGCAGTACTTTACATTCTTGAAATTCCCCCGTCCCCGGTGAGGACTTAGTCTGGTCCATGGACTGCTTAATGTTCGCACTTTCCCCGTTGTGTAATCTGTTCAGCTCGTGCTGACCGCCGCCGCTTCTCGTTGTTGGATGTCATTTGTGTTCTTTGTTGTAAATATTCCTCTTTACAGCATTTGAGAAAAATTTAGCTGAGGGAGGCAAGAACCAAGCGCTAATAAATATTCTTTTAGAAAATAATTTATTTCATTGTGTAAAACTGACACATTAGAATAGTTAGTTCATTGATTTTAATGTTACACAAACAATTACAAATCTTTTTCATCAATTTAATTACTCTAAAATACAATAATATTGTACAGACCAAAGTTAAATACATTCACTGAGGTAGAACAATTAAATATTGATGAGTTCTTGCTAGACAGCACTCATTAAATTACATATTCAGTCACTCTTTCTAGAAAAAGAAAATCAATACAGCAAAGCAGCAGCTCAGTCAATTAGAAGTGACATCAGATGCCCAAACAATTTTAGGCAACAACATACAGAGTTAAAATTGATTACAGATTCAGTGTCCTTGAATATCACAGTAAGTAGGAAAACATAAAACTAACTAATGCTAGTAAAATAGAATTATAAAATGGACAAAATGTACACATGCTATGCAGAAGAGGCAGCAGCACTACTACTCTGGGACTGCACAGCTTGTAGGGCATGTACAGCCTGCATACTAGGCGTCAGACGAACTTTACAAGCAAGCTGCTGAGCTGCTGCTTGACGAGCTTCTCTTTCTTTTCGCTTGTATTCCAACCACTGAACTGTCTCTGGATCGTTGTTGGGTCTCTGTTCCAAATGGAGAGCAAGAACATCTCGCAATACACGGAATGTCGATGTGTTGCAGAATGGCGCAAGTGTTGCTGGGTCCTTGTACTTTGCCCTTTGTCTAAAAGCAAAACAGAACACACAACACTGTTACTAATATTCTATGTTGACCGAAGTGAAACAGAAATGGCATCCATTTCACTGCAAAGTGATATGGACTGTACCTTGTGATAAGGCAATAGCTGCGTTGTGGCTGTCTCCTTCGCCTTAATCGGAAAGCTCTCCGGAAAGTACTTTCATCACTGAATGTAAGGAATGTTCTTTCACAGAGAGGATAAGGTTTTGACTGTGAAGATTCTGCTGCCTGCCCTTCTTCCCTTTTCTTTTCATCCTGCTCTCTGGTAGGAGAGAGTTCATTCGGATTTTCAGACATGGAAACACTGGAATGAAAAACATTGCATAAGTGCATGCTTTCATGGGCACTCTCGTGTGCTTAATTGATGAAACCCACACACTTACTCATCAGAGGTGTCATCCACATTTATTTTTTCATCATTGGTCAGCCCATTATCACTAATTGGCAAGTCTTCTAGAACTGGCATCGCTACAGACAGGTACCGAATAGTTGGGCCAGTAATGCCCTTTTTCACACCTCGTGTTTTCTTCTTTTCTAATTCCATCTTTTGATATTTCTCTGAAATTGACAAATATTGACTCATTATAACAGTAAACAAAGGATGGTACCTACAAGATGCAAATCAAATGCATGCAAAAACGTACCTAAAGATTTAAGATTTTCTTCCTCTGTAACCATTGCTTCGGCAAGCTTTTCTTCTTGTGTTGGCTCATAAAAGTACTCTCTATTTCTGCGATGCTTCCGGGGACCCTCCTCCTTCCGTTTTTTAACTCGCAATTGAGTTTCTTCAGACTTTTTAACAGTAGATTTTCGGATAGACTTTCTCTCTGAAAAGATAAGAAGTATTCTAGAATTCTAGAAACATGTTTGGAGCGCTCATTTCTTATGTTGCCAATAGGCCAAACATGCCAGAATTTTTTTTTAAATACTAACCATACATATCAGCTGTCATTTTAGGCTTGCGTTTTTTGGGTTCCCGAGGCTTTTTCTCTACAGCTCCTGGCGGTGGGGCTGGTTTGGGTTCCTGCAAGAAAAGTTATGTAAAGTAAAGTGGTTCAAACTGCTTTCACTTAATTTGAAGATGTATAGCATTTTGATCAATGGATCCATTACAGTCCAGTCAAGTACCTTATAAGCTTTTGTAACTACTTTCTTTTGTCTCTTAGGACCTTCATCTTCATGATCTGATATCGGCTCGTCTTTCTCTTCGATACTGAAGTCAGAATCAACATCATCTTCGACTTCTTTCTCATCACCAGAACTAAGGTACAAAAAGAGCCATTAATTTTAATTCATCTCAGCATACATTCTCATTTAAAAGGTGCAACACTAGATCTCATACTTAAAGTCATTGTCCTCCTCTGACTCCTCAAAACCGCCATAGGTAGATTTATAGAACTCATCTTCCTGAATATCTTCCAGCAGTTTAGCCATCCCAGCCCCTGCATTGCTGCGCCGTGTACGAGTTGTAGCAAGCATTTTGATGTGTGGTACTGCAAATAAATAGGGACCAAATGAGTGAGGGTGATTTTCATACAAACAAATCATCAATCTCTAGAATGGCAAAGAAGTGCATTTTAACTGTTTCAAGGCAACAACATAACCTTAAAAATAGCATTATTTCATTTCTGGCCACAATCAATTAATTTGAAATCGGTAAAACGAAAATCATAGTAGCAGCAAGCAAGTAAAACTATTAATGTTAGAATCCAAATAAATATTTACCGATGACACCTCTTGAAGGAAAAAGAAACACAAAATGCGGCCAGTAACCTCGGTTTCTGGTAACGCCGATGGTAATGGGGGTTGAATCTAAACTACAGCTGAATCCTATACTTGGGTAGTTATTAATTCGTGCAGAAATCAAAGTACTAGCTCAATTTTCCGAAACAGATAGTTTTGCTCGCAGTGTGAAGCACATTCACACTCAAATCTAAATCTACTGCTGTTGCTCTCGCCGGCTTCCTTCTTCTTCTCCTTTTTGCTGGGGGGGGGGTGGGGACCGCGCCGGAACAGGAAACTTGTTTCTTCCCTTCTTCTCTTCTCGCAGGAGGAACTTTTTGCGCCAAACTTTATATTTATAGATCAATATTGTGCAGGTTAAGGCGTCCTGTGAAAACGCATTGCCATGAAGTACATCCTTGTGACGGGTGGTGTCATTAGTGGAGTGGGCAAAGGCGTCATATCGAGTTCCTTCGGTACCATTTTGAAGAGCTGTGGGGTGCGAGTAACATGTATCAAAATTGATCCGTACATTAACATTGACGCTGGCACGTTTTCTCCCTATGAGCATGGTAAGTTTTAACCCTTTCTGCTTAAAACGTTCCACTCACCAACCTTTATCTTTTCTCTAACTTTCCGCTTTAAGCTGTCGAGACCTCTGCTTTTTGCAGTTGTTGTCCTTTACTTGCTTGGCTAATTTTGTTTTGTGATCTGGTAGATGCTATACCATCTTCTGCATTGTGCTTTATTGTGTTTTACTCATGCTTGTCATGACATGATACCCTGGCCTTTGCTTTGCAAGGACACCTGTGTTTACATTTTATCTGATTCACAGGTGAAACATATGTGTTGGATGATGGTGGCGAAGTTGACTTGGACTTGGGAAATTATGAACGCTTTCTGGACATCACTCTCCATCGTGACAATAACATCACAACGGGTAAAATTTATCAACAAGTGATCAGCAAAGAGCGTAAAGGAGATTATCTGGGAAAGACTGTCCAGGGTAAGACATCTTACATTAAATTATAGTGGATGTGAGAAGCCTGGTGCTAGTATTAAATTGTAACGTTTTTGGTTTTTAGTTGTGCCCCATATAACTGACGCAATCCAGGAATGGGTTGAAAGGGTAGCCCATATTCCAATTGATGATACCAATGAGCCTCCTGAGGTAAGAGATTCTATTAGTCCTAACTTGATGCTGTATTTTATGGCTGTAGAAATTTAAGATTTTATCCCTGCTTTTCAGGTATGCATTGTTGAGCTTGGCGGAACTATTGGTGATATTGAGGGCATGCCCTTTGTGGAGGCATTCCGCCAGTTCCAATTTCGAGTCAAGAGGGAAAATTTCTGTTGTGCTCATGTGTCTCTTGTGCCTCAGGTTTGTGGCCTATGTTAGTTACAATTTCAGTTGTGGTTACCAGTAGTCTTTTCCTGTTTGTGTCACCATGTGATTTTATTTTTATGTAGCCTCGCTCTACTGGTGAACCCAAAACCAAGCCCACACAGTCTAGTGTGCGTGAGTTGCGTGGTCTTGGTTTGTCCCCTGATTTGATTGTTTGCCGAAGTGAGAAGCCTATTGGTCAGTCAGTCAGGGATAAGGTTTCAAACTTCTGTCATGTTGGCCCTGAACAGGTGAGTGCAGGTGATATAGAGCTCTTACTGGTGAGATGATAATAGAATGTGTCTCAGTGCCATTACTTTGCAGGTGATATGTATCCATGATCTGTCTTCTGTCTACCGTGTTCCAATTTTAATGGAGGGACAAGGAGTTGTAGAATTTTTAAAAGAACGTCTTCACCTGAACTTCACATTGCCTCAGCCAAAATCATACATGATGAAATGGAGAAATTTAGCTGACAGGTAAGCATTTGATCTCAGTTTCTTCAAGAAACCTCTTACACTGAAACTGCTTCAGATTGATTGCCCTGTCAAATGAGCAATGCTTAAAATCTTTGTTAGGAATAAGATGGTGGGAAAGAAATCTGGAGGCTTCTCTGTACTTTATTCCAACTTCTCACAGCAAATTGACTCGACCCTAAGTTTTCATTACCTAATGCTGATTCTTTTAATGCTTTGCTATTGATTGGGTGAAGGTTTGACTTCACCCAGACCCAAGGCGCTCCTGATGTGGAAGCGACTGAAAAAGGCCGATGGGAGGTTGTGCGAAGAGAATCATGCTGTGTTGTTGGGTGGGTGCTGCAGTTTGCACTTGTATGTGATTTGCATGTGTTATTTCACCCTGCTATGTAGGCATTTTTAACCATTAGGTCCACTAACAGATGAAGCATTTATCGCACCCAGATAGTGTCCACGTTGAATTGCAAACCTGAAGGCCATAAGTGAAGAGTTTGTTTGTTATCGCCTTTTCCATGACCAATGCCTCCATGATATTTTTATATTGTTAAATTTATTTTCACCAATATCTGTTTTATTGTAACCTCAGTGCATTGTGTTGATTATTCTATTTTTCAAGTTTAATCTGCTTTGTCCCTCCTTACTTCTTTTCTTCAAATCTTCTGCTTATCCCAATATTTTATTTCAATTTACAAAACAATACTTTTTAATGAACTTTTTAAACAGCATTATTAGATCAACTCTAATTAATGTGAGTTTTCTTTCTTTTTACAATGAGCCTGAAAAGAAAGAAAAAGTAGTATTTCATCTCTTTACTCTATCTTCTATGGCTTTAAAGTTAGGCAAGTGCTTTAATCACTAATCCAATGCTGCTTCAATTGTTCTGATGAAGCTATACTCTTTCTTTGTGTACAGTAGGGCAGGATATAGTACATTGCAGCCCGCAATGACATTGGTTGTAGTTCTCTTAGATATTTTCACATGTATTCATCACCTGTGTTCACAATTTTTCAGAGTGGATCTGCTCCGAAAGGAGGTTAATATTGCCCTTGTTGGAAAATACACCAAACTGGAAGATTCTTATGCCTCAGTTTTGAAAGCTCTTCAGCATGCTGCCATTGATGTTGGATACAAACTTAATGTTTCAGTGAGTATGTGAATGGGCAACTTAAGTTTTGTTGATAATTGAAGTAGTGTATTAACCACCCTTTTATTCTTGCAGCTTATTGAGGCATGTAATTTAGAAAAGGCAACCAAAATTGATGACCCTGTCATGTACCACAAGGCTTGGCAAACACTCTGCAAAAGCGAGTATGTTCTATTGGGTACATGCTGCTTGTTAAGTCTTTTTTTTTAAAATGCTGTTTCTTCATAGTCTTCTTTTTTCCTCCACAGTGGTGTCATCGTTCCTGGAGGTTTCGGCAAACGTGGATTTGAAGGAAAGTTAGAGGCCTGCCAATGGTGCAGAGAGATGCAAAAGCCTTTCTTAGGCATTTGTTTGGGTCTCCAGGCAGCAGTTGTGGAGTTCTCAAGGTGGAAAAAATTGTTAGTGTAGTGGATTTAAATTTTGCTTTGAGAGACTAATGACTTTTATGTTTTGTATTCCACTAGGAATGTCTTGAAACTTGACAGGGCCAATAGTACTGAAGTTGACCCTGAAACCCCTCACCCTCTCATTATTGACATGCCTGAACACAATCAGGGTGTAATGGGTGGAACAATGCGCTTGGGTAAAAGGACAACCGTTTTTACCTCTGACAAGTCTGTTATGAGTAAGTATTTTTAAAAAAGAACTACACATCATCCTAAAAAGATAAGTGTATTTCCTCAATTTTGTTGTTTCTTTTATTTCCTCTTCAGAGCAATTGTATGGCAATAAACCATCTGTAGATGAAAGGCATCGTCACCGGTTTGAGGTGAACCCCAAGTATGTGAAACAGCTGGAGGCAGCTGGGCTGAAATTCACAGGTCTGTTTTCAACACATTGCTGCTCAGCTACAAAATCTTTCAAAGTGTTTTACTCTCTTCCTTTCTGTTGAAGGTCATGACACTAACAATACGAGAATGGAAATTTTGGAAATGGATAATCATCCATACTATGTAGCCACCCAGTACCACCCTGAGTACCTTTCAAGACCCCTTAAGCCATCTGCACCATTCATGGGACTTATTTTGGCTTCAGTTGGAATCTTAAAGCCATACTTGGAACACTGCAATTCTTCGAAGTCTTCCGATGTGTCCGAAGAATCAGGTAAGAATACATTTTGAGACTACATTTTTTTATTTTTTTTTGGAAAGTGGCATATATGTGTGTGAGTGTGTGTGAGTAGCATGCTTAGTTTGTGCAATCCACTCTTTACCTCAAACACACTTTTCCATTGCTTTTTGCTTAAGAGGTTGACTCATGAACTCATCTCTTAAAGCTAAATTATATGTAAGCAATAGCCCTAATAGCTGATACTGTGGTATGCTTCCCTAGAGCAGAGAATGGTATGTGGCATTGATCGGTGAAGAATTTCTTTTCTTGTCTGCAGATGATCTTGAGGCTGTATCAGCAGTGGAAAAGTTCAACAAGCTTAAATTAGAAACTGGTGAGAGCCCATGAGGACCATTAAGTTTAAATAAAAATGTCAGCTTGTAAACGTTACTTCCTGGAAAGTTGCTTCCCTTAAAGATGACTAATGGCTGTGGAAATAATGTCCCATTTTATACAAATATATTGTGCGTTTTTAAAGAAATAATTGACTTGTGATAACATTCCGATTATCAAATAATTGATCCACTACAATGAACTTGTGAAAATAATTGAATAAAATTATTTACTTTACATTTATTTCTGGTCTTAATACAAAGAACATTAATACTTTCTAAAACACACTATTTCTTTCTTCCACCTCTCTCCTTCAATTGCAACTGAACAACAGCACCAGATAACATGTTATAGAAGGCAAGAGTATTTGAATCCTTGAAAAACATTCCCTGGAAAACAAAGATGAATTTTACATTCCAATTGATCAGCAAAAATTTTAAGTTCCAATCAATTATCACATACACAATCCTACCTCATATTGTAACTTCTGCTTGGCTGGTGGCAAGCCGGTCTCATCTTGTATTCTGCTCTTAACAGCAGAAAATGTGTCTGTCAAGGCTAAAACAAGGTTCAATGTCTGTCCATTTAATCTCCATTCTGGTTTGTCCGATGAAGTAGGCGTGGGCACTTGAACCTTGATTGTAACGGGGCCCTAAAGTGGAAAAAATTTCAAATTACTCCAAAGTTCCTGTAATAAGCCAAAACAGATACTACAAAAAAAGTATTATTACCCACCTTGTGCTTTGATAAGAATTCCTGTTCTGGCATGAGAGAATCTTCTGTACGAGATTTCTTGCTTGGAGGTTCATCTTCCATGCCATCTGACGGCCTGGGCATATGATGTGGCATCTACAAAAGCCAGAGAAAGTACTTAAAGTTTAAGAAGATTCAGACTCTAGGAAGTTCCGTGGCCTCTAATGTTTCGTAACATGACGTGGTACAATATTTCAAAACTTTATCTCACCTGTGGCTGAGCTGGCTGAGGGCCCCCTGGAGGCATAAACCGTTGCATTGGGGGTCCAGATTGAGGCACAGCATAAGGACCTTGTTGAACTGTTAACAATGTGACACAAAATTAATTTTTAACTAATTTAAGTGAAATTTTAGAGCATGACCCTAGCCAAGGGCACAGCGAGAAACACTTACCCATCATAGGCCGAGGGGCCATGCCAGGCATCATCATCATGCCTGGAGGCATTCCAGGGGGCATACCAGGTCCTCCCGGAGGCATAGACGCCATGGGGGCCATGGGCAGCGGCGCCATCGACATACCAGGCGGCATACCAGGAGCCATGCCCGGCCCCATGCCTTGAGGCATTCCCTGGGGCATTCCTTGGGGCATACCCTGAGGCATGCCCTGGGGCATTCCCTGAGGCATGCCTTGTGGCATCCCTTGCGGCATGCCCTGGGGCATTCCGGGTGCCAAGCCCTGCGGCAGGCCCTGGGGCAGGCCGGCCATTGGGGCCATCTGCGGCATGGGGGCCATGGGCGGCAAGGGCACGCTGGGCGCGGCCGGCGGTGGGGCCTGTGGCTTGGGGCCGGACTGCGCCGCCACCCCCGGGCCCAGCCCCAAGCCCTCCTTGGTGCCCGGCGGCTTGGGCTGGTCCTGCTTGCGGGCCTTGTCCATGGAGCCGGCCATGGCGCGGTCGCGGTCGCGTCCCTTGATGGGCTTTGGCCCGATCCTCTCCTTCTCCTCGTCCGGCACCAGGCCCTTCACTTTGTGGATCTGGTGGATCTGGTCCTCCAGGGTGATGTTGGCACGCGCCGCGCGAGTCGCAGCCTCCACGCTCGACGTGTGTCCGTCCCACGTGACCTGGGCAACCAAGTACGCTCACTTAAGTAACGCCATGCAATGGCAACGGCATCATGCCAAGAAAACTGGCAGGAAGGGATCTTACCTTTTCGTCCTTGCGAGTGTCCTCCTCACCGATCTTCTTACCAATGGCCGTTTCCTCATCTCCCACACCGAAAATGTCAGTACGACGCTCGGCGAGCTGTTTCAAACTGGCCTCAATGGCAGCACCTAAAAACATGATTGCAACATGGAATTAGTGAAAATTCTACAAGCTGGAAAATATGCTTTTCAAATGATAACAAACCTGGTGCATAGACAGTCTCCTGGTTCATCTTGTCCTGGATATGCTTGTCACGCTGCTCAACCCACCTAGGATCGAGCAAACCGATTCGCATATGCTCCTGAACCTTGTTAGCTGGAATTTTCTCTCCAGTAATGGGGGAAATCAGCATTTCATCCGGAGCAGGAGGACGAGTAATCTTAACAGCTAAAACATCAAAGGAAATGAAATTAGTGCCTCTAAAGATAAAAATTTGTCTTGTTAAGGGTTATGAGTGGGACGTACCTTGTTTGGGATCGTAGCCCTTCTTGACAAGCACACGATCTGGCATCGGCGGCAGGGGTGGGGGCTGCATAGTGTCCTTGGGAGGAGGTGGTGGAGGAGCAGGAAGCTTTCTTTCTCCTGGAGGACCATCATCTTCCTCTTCACTTGACGATCCCTCTTCCATGTCTTGAACCTGCCCAAGTTGGTTTCGTATTTAGTCAACACATCATTAAACAATTTTGAATCCCATGAATTACCAAAAATTTACCTGTGTGTTGTCCCGGCTTTCATTCTTGTCCTTGTAACGCCTAAGCACCTCTTCTTGCTGCTCTCTGTCCTCTTCATCTTCTCCTCGTCGATCTGGGCGGTCGCGCCTGAATACATGCTGAGCCGGTGCCTTCCGAGCTCGAGCAGGACGGCCTCTTTCCTCTCTCTCGTCATCCTCATCATCACTGAGTTGCATTTCATCTCCACCATCATATCGTTCCTATGACAGATAAAAGACGTTTAATTTTAAGAAGCATAAAACAATGATTGATAACACAGAGAAGGTAATAAAATTAATTTCTGACCTGCATCAGGATGCGAGCACCAACTTCATCCGGAGTGGTTGGAGGTGGAAAGTTGCCCACTTCCATGGGCTGATAATCGACAGTCTCAACAACAACAAAGTCGTGCCAGTCAATCTGAGCATATGCCACTAAAATGAAAAAATGTTAGTGAGGTCAACAAAGTTAATTAAAGTACATTTAAGGCAGGGAGCCATACCTCTCTCCTTCTCAAGTTCTTCCTCTTCTCTCCTCTTTTGGGCTTCTTGGTATTTTATCCACTCAGAGCGATATTTGACTTGATCCAAAATATTTCCAGTTGAGGAACATTCATCTTTCAGTCGGTACATCATGTCTTTAGGGGGAATTAGTACCTGAAGAAGAAGTAATCATTTAATCTAGTGGCACGCTAACAGAAAGTGCCATGAACTAAACCAAAAATGAATAAACTTACTTTGGTATACTGTTCCAGAAGCTTAGTAAAGTACTGAAAAAGGGAATGTTGGGGCCTTAGAAAGTCAAACTGAAAGTTCCGTTGTTCGCGATTCATTAAATTAGTGAGGAACGTTCGGCCATTTAAAGCCACAAACTGCGCAGTAAGTTTGACAATGTCCCTACAAACAGTACAGGAAAAACAGTTAATAAAAACCTATTCCAATAAATTTAGTCTCCTTATGTAAATTAGGCATAAAAAGTAAGGTATATTTGTTAACACGTACAGGTCAAGAGCTGAAATTGACGGAGGGTCAGCAATAAATTCAAATTCTGCAGGTGGATCTTTAGGAATGAATGGCTGTTCTATAGCTGACTTGAGGAGTTCCTGCTGCTTTTGTTGTACAGATGCAACAGTCTTGGAAGGAGCTGTAGTTCCAGGTGCACCAATCTGGGATGGCTCTTGGGCTGGAAAAAGGAATCAACACTAAAAGATCTGTTCCTCGCAGCTAAGATGCTCTTAACGAGTCTGACAGTCACAAGATTTCCTTACCTTTCCCTTCTCTTATGTCTTTAACTTTATGCTGATAGTATGCATGGTAAGGGTCTCCAAAGTTAAGAAAGTTGAACTTTGGGTTACCCTGCTCATTGTCCCGGATTCGAGCTTCGAATTCGGGACCATTTCTGGCTACAAAACTGGCTGTCTTGTCAACGATGTCTGGATTCCGTTCATTAAGGAAGATACAATTTATTCACTAGATAAATTTCCTGTAATACACACATGAAATTAACTGTGCTCGAACTGAAAAAAAGGTCGTAAAGATTCAATTCTGTGCGAATGGTTTCATTGCAGAAAGATGGTGCTCAGCACAATAACACAACCTGAAACCGTTATTAGCGAACCAAAATCAATCAAACAAACCCAGCAAATTGAAATTAAGTTGTTTTACGTAAGTTTTTTTTTTTAATTTAAGAGCGATTTAGGTTTTCTAGTGGTTTTTAAGCCACTAAAGCAGATCAAGGATACTCCTAACCTCAGGGGGTGGATAAATAATACCCACAACAGCCTGAGTAGACTGTGCAGGGGCATTTTCAGGGGCCTCCGTCGGGGGTGCAAACCCTACTTCCAAGGCTGGCATTGTTCACAGATAGGAATAACTACAACTTAAAGATAAAACTTTAAAAACCGAGTTTGACTTTAGGCTTCTCAACACCGCGTCGCCATATTTGTTGCTCTAACGATTCCGGTGTGACTCGGTACCACCTTGCCAAAACTTAGTACCCACAAATGCTCCACTATCCCTTCACCACACTGCCACAATCTAAAAATCAGCTTCAAATTTATAAATTTTCATTGGTTTTGCTTTTTCATGGCTAAAAATGTATTTTTAAAAATATTTCCTACACAATATTTGGATTTAAACATGGTCAGTGAAGAAGTTTTGTGTTTCATATCTTGTGTTTACCTTGTGCAACACCAAATTTCTCTACTGACACGTCTGTTTTCTTGTTGAACAGAGAATATTCTTTGCCAAGATTACTTCCTTGCCCATTAGATATTTTTTTGTGTTGAGCTAGAAATTTTAACATACTCAATCGAAAAGTCATTTTGTTTCTAGGAATTCGGGCTAGTTCCACATTCAGGGAAACTTTTCACTTGTTGGCAGCCCCCTAAACCGGTGTCGAAGATTCATCAACTTCCGCTGGCACACGGCGTTCAGGGCCACTTCCTGCCTCTCTCCTTAGCCAACGGGGTTATACGGCCGACGTGTAACCCGCGTTTTGTCGCGAAAGCCATCTCAAAATGGTAAGTTAAATTTCGTCTGAAGTAGTCCGCTTTCCTTTTTGATGGTTACAATTTATTGCCCAAGTCATTTGACCTGAAAATATGTGCCGTGTTCATCGGATGTATTTGGATTTAACTTGCGGCTTATAGCCTGCGAGCGTGCATGGATGCTTCAGATTGAATATTTGGCTTTTATGTTAGTTGTTCATATTCAGAATATCATTCTGATAAAATTTCAAATCCGTGATTCCTGGTCGTTTTATATTTTGTTCCATTTTAAATTACCTGATTTGTTTATATTTGGAAGTGTAGGTTAGGATGTATCAGGCCGGCTACGTCCGTGTTCTGTTTTGTCTGTCTAGTTTCACTCAAGTTTTCAGCTCTTAGCTACCATTGTCGTGTGTCTTGGTTCCCTTCATTGGCGTTTTTTAATCTCGGTCATGTTTGCTTTCAGGGGTTCGTTAAGGTAGTCAAGAACAAGCAGTACTTCAAGAGGTACCAGGTTAAGTTCAAGAGGCGTCGTGAAGGAAAGACCGACTACTTCGCCCGCAAACGTCTGGTCGCCCAGGACAAAAACAAATACAATACCCCCAAGTACCGTCTTGTCGTCCGTTTATCCAACCGTGACGTCACCTGTCAGGTGAGTACTGATATGTTTCTGCTCATCTGCGCTACTCAGACTAGTGATAGATGACACATTGACCCACGCTTTTCTGTTAATTGCCTTTTACAGATTGCGTACTCCAGGATTGAGGGTGACAAGATCCTGTGCGCAGCATACAGCCATGAGTTGCCCAAGTATGGTGTCAAAGTCGGTCTTACCAACTATGCCGCCGCCTACTGCACAGGTCTCCTCCTTGCCCGTAGAGTAAGTATTTTGCTGTGTATGTGGGTTTATTTTTTGCTTTCTTTATGCCAGTTGTCAAATATTAATGGAGTTAATTTCACTTTTGTTCTGTAGCTTCTTAACAAGTTGAACTTGGACAAGTTGTACATTGGTACCACAGAAGTCACTGGTGAAGAGTACATTGTTGAAGAACTCGACAATGGCCCCGGAGCATTCAAGTGTTTCCTTGACGTCGGTCTGGCTAGGACCAGCACTGGCGCCAGGGTTTTCGGTGCCATGAAGGGAGCTGTTGATGGTGGTTTAAATATCCCTCACAGGTTAGTATCATAATACAATTTCATATGCAGATCAGCTACTTTATGTTTGTGCTGTGTCACTAACATTGCATTTTCTTGTCCAGCACCAAGAGGTTCCCTGGTTTTGATGCTGAATCCAAGGAATTCAACGCAGAGGTCCTCCGCCAGCACATCTTTGGTCAACATGTTGCTGAGTACATGCGCCACCTCTCAGAGGAAGATGATGAGGCCTACAAACGCCAGTTTGCTCTTTACATCAAGAATGGAATTAATGCCGATAGTGTAAGTTCCTCTTCTCCACTATGAACTTGTTGAATGGAAATGTCCTGGACAATGTGTGATTCAAAATTTGTTTTCCAGATTGAGGGTCTCTACAAGAAATGCCATGAGGCTATCAGAGCCGACCCTGTCCGCAAGGTTGTTGTGAAGAAGGAGCACCCCAAGAAGAGATGGACCCAGAAGAAACTCACCCTTGAACAGAGGAAGGCCAAGATTGCCAAGCAGAAGGCTGAGTTCATTAAGAAAATTGAGGCTGGAGAGGTTGAATAAACTGTACTTGTTGGAAATTAAATCAGCCTATTACATATTTCTTTCTTACTAGTAACCCTTTTTCTGTGTCCTAGCATCTGGATGAGCTAGTATATTTTGCTTTCAAAATAAGACAAGTGACATATTTTAAAAAATTTATTCAAGGAATTTAGGCACTGGGATCTATTTCATTAATACTTATACATTCAATATCATTGGTTCTTAAAAGAGCATCGGGAATGGATCCCAAAGGAGTGTCTAATGATTTCACATAGATATTGACAAATTCACGATCACAGCTTCCGAACACTGCTGAAACATTTGTGTTCTCGTACATACGAAAATTGGCAGTCCTTCCTGTAACAAGACCTTTCTTCATCACACCTTCATTGAATTATTAATTAACATTCCAATTTCACTAGTCACAGTACGTAACTCACCGTTCATAGCTAACAAAGCTCGGATGAACCTTTCCCGCAAATAAGATCTTGCTTGTTGAACTTCCTCTTCTTTGCTCGGAATGAGCGATGGAACTTCTGGACAGTTGGCAGTCATTTCTGGGAAAGAAAATACCAATCGATTAAATTTGCGAACCGGGAACACATTGAACATCACGTGGCAAGGTTAGGCAGACCAGGACCACATGTGACTGCGGCATGACACGCTACCAAGACGACGCAAAAGACCGCTCGAGTGTCTACCTAAGATTCCTAAGATAAATTCCAGCGGCGATGAAGACGACAGTGTGAGATTCGTCTGGCGTCGTGCGAGTTGTCTGTGTATATTTTTGTTTTGACGAGGGAAATAAAATAAAAGAAAACCGCCGCGGCCACTCACTAAATCTGGCACCAACTTTGCCGGTGTTTCATTTCATTACTCAACTTTGCCAGTAAATTCGCTGATAAAGACACACACATAATTGTTTGTTTATTTTTGTCTCTTCTTTTTCGCAAAGCTATCGAAATTTATCCCTAGGAAGTCTTTACATTCGCCTCAAATGACAGCTATGTTGTCGGTGTTGGCAACCATTGAGCCACCATTGCAGCGCGGCAATTTGAACAGAACGCAAAAGTGGCCGAGCTAGCCTGCTGTGTGCTGTGTGATATTGGGTGACGAATTACGTGACAAACGTGCTCTTCTCTTCATCCGAACAAAACAGCCCCTAATTTATTCTTCACCCGCCCTGCCTGGCGGCCTGGCCCTCTGCCGAGCCTCCGAGGGTTTCGTTGCTCTACCTCTTTCGCACCGCAACGAGACATCCCATGAGTGCGACAGAGACAGAGATCGAACGACGAAAGGACTCTTCGGCATCAGCGCCCGGCTCCAAGAAAGGCGTAATTGACAGAGAATATGACATGGGCGACGGGCGTGCAGACGCTTGCCTCCGTATCGACGGGGAGGGCGGAGGGCCGGAGGGGGTTGTTTCCACCTGTTCCACCCTGTGCCAATCCTCCAACCCCTCTCGTTCCCAATTTCCTCTCCACGCCAGTTGCGAGATTAACCAGATCGGAGCCGATCCATGCTATCAGACAATGATTAGGCGCGACACCCGAAGCCCCCGCACCCCCCTACTCACACTTCAAGCCGTCCGCACTGTCCCCTCTCCACCCGCCCTTCCCGGCCTACCCTTGCCTACCGGACCAAGGTCGGGGGCGAGGGGCGAGGGGAGACCGCGGAGGGCGGCAAGCGGAAAATGCGCTATGGCCTTCTTTCAATATTGGAACACGCCGGGCATAATAAGTCGCCGATCGGCGAAAACGACCAAGACGACGGGGTGCGGCGGCGCGGCGCAGCAGGGGTGCCAATGAGGTCGCGTGACGTCGTCAGCGCCGTCGACGCTCCCGCCTGTTGGACGAGGGAGGCACGGCGCCGCCCCGTCACGGCAGTCACGGTGTTGTTGTTACGGTGAAGTGACGAGCCGAGGGCCGCGTCAGACTGCGGTTTCCTCGTGTTTCCGCCAGAGCCTGGAGCAGAGGGCGCGCTGAGCGCTGCGCGGCAGAAGGGGTTGTGCGCCGCCCGGCCCGGCCAAGGGGGTCGTCGTGGCGGCTTGCGTCACGTCGGCCACGTCACGTGGACGGCCAGCTGGGCCTCCCCTCGCCACTCGCCCCACGCCCCGTGCAGTGGAGTCGGTGACGTGAATCTTGAATCCGACGCGCAGCGCGTAGCGAAGTTTGCGTGCTCTTGAACGCTGCCGTATGACAGCGAGGGTGGGGGCGTCGCAGGCGTCGCAGGCGGGGCTCTGCGCTGCGCCACGGCGAGGGTAGGCGAGAGGCATCGCGTCGGGGCATCCCCGCGCTTCGGCCGGCGCCAGGCTGGCGGCGGGCTGGCGGCCCCGCGGTCCAGTTGGCGCCGGAGTGGCGCCGGAGGCAGGGCCTAGCTGGCTGGCGCGGCGTCGGGGCGTCGGGGCGCCGCGCGGAGGGCCGGAGGGGGTCGATAGGGAGGGAGGACCGCACCGCGTCGCTGGTCGCGGCTAGAGCCTCGCGGCCAGGCGGCCAGCAGCGCGTCATTTGCCGCACCGCGTCAAGACGCAGCGTCACGCGTCCCGCACCACCTGCACGCCGTCGGGTCCTCGCCGACACACGGGGGATGCGATGGCGAGCGGGGCCCGCGGCCTCGGGGCGCTGTGCGCCGCCGTCCTCGCCGTGCTCCTGGCCGCGGCGCCGTCCTCCCTCGCGGCGCGCTCCGCCGGCCACGGCGCGCCGCCCCGCCACGGCAAGCTCGACCCCGCCGACCACCAGAGTGTGTGAGTACGCGCGTACGCGCCCCCTGGCTGCCACGGCTGGCCACGGCCCCGCACTGTGCGAAATTGGGTCTCTGTTTGCCCGTCGTGATTGGCGCCATTTTAATTTCGGCGGGGTTTGATTCCCCGCCATTCCCCGCAGCGTGCAGGCGTGGGCCAAGATGCTGGGCAAGGAGCTGGCCGACATGGCGAGGAGCGTGACCCGCTTCGACCGGCTGCAGGAGGTGAGTGGCGACGGCGCGGGGCGGCGGGACGGCGGACCCCCAGTCGGGTTGTTTACGCTGGTGTCTCGTTAAACGCGGCAACCCCATCAGTCCATCACCAGGTTATCCGACATTACAGCATTACCCTGCGGAACAAGCCTGGCGGGAATCAGGGCGAAACCCTTAATCTCCTGTAATCAGTGGCCTGCAATCGGAAATCGCGCGGGGCGGCCTCCCCTGCCTACCCCTCCCCCTGCTTACCGCCCCCGCACCCCGCCCGACTCGCGCGTTTTCGTTGCAGAGCATCAAGAAGATGAACGTGGAGGTGAGGGACCCGGAGCGGGTGCTCAACGAGGTGGCCCGCAACATGGAGAGGCTGATGCAGCGCAGGGTGAACCAGGTGCAGGTCAGTGAAAGCAAAAGCACAGCGCAGCGCGCCAAGATGCTTGCTTCGTTCGGCGTCGGCCTGGCTCATAGACCCGTGTTTGCCCGAGCAGAAGATCCGGAAGGCCGCGGAGGAGCTGGGCCGCGTGGACTACCGCCAGTTCGAGGTGCCGCGGTTCTACCCCGGCGTCAAGGACCTCGAGACGACGCCGGAGCCCACGCCGCCGCCGCCGCCGAAGCCCAAGCGGCGCCGCAACTCGCTGACGACGGCGGGGCCGCCCACCACGGCCAAGCCCACCACCACCGTCAAGCCCTGGCTCGTGCACGTGGACACCTTCCCCGGGACCAGCCTCGTGAACGTGTCCCTCAGCGCCGTGCACGTGCCCACCGAGGTGGACGACGGCAGTGAGTACAGCCACCTTACTCTCTGTGGAATCATTCGCCGAGCGGACTCACCACAGCACGCCCTTCCTATGCCCAACAGGTACCATTGACCTAGCCGAGGGTAAGTTTCGTGAGGTGCACTGCCAGAGCAAGAATAATGTAACCACGCAAGAACGGCGGACTATTTTCGGCCCAACGTTTACGTTGGGCGAGGTGGGATGACTTGGCCTGCTGAACCTCTTTCCTGAATTGAAATCACGTTCATTCTTAATTAATCCGTTCCATTCCCATGCTTGTCGCAGATCCCGAGCAGTTCAACTCGACAGGTAAGGTTCTGGTTCTGGCTTGCACAGCATTTGCCAAGAAGCGTAAAACGATTTGAGCCACCCTTGCCACCAGGAGCGGAGGTGCAGCAGATCATCGAGCTGACCGAGGCCTTGGACGAGGCGTTCGTCAGCAACATGAAGGAGGACTGGTCGACGGCGTGGCAGTTCTTCGCGCACCACACCGGCGTCATGAGGCAGTACCCAGGTAGGGCGAGCGCGCGGACGCGGGAGGCCAGCGCGAACTCCGCCTGGGAAAGGCTCTGAAACTAGACCATGCCGCAGCCTCCAAGTGGAACCGGATGTACAGCGAAGACTACTTCGACGCGCGGCTGCGGCCGTGGTACCTGCGCGCCGCCACCAGCCCCAAGGACATCATCATCCTGCTGGACAACTCGGGCTCCATCTACATGACGGAGCCGGCGCTGCTGACCAAGCTCGTGGCGCACACCATCCTGGACACGCTCACGCCCGACGACTTCGTGACCGTGCTGCTGTACAGCAACAACGTCACCTCCCTGCTGCCCGGGCTGGACGACAAGCTAATCCCGGTGAATGCCAACATCCTCGACTGGCGTCCGGTTCTAGTTTCATGAGCGCCACGGCCTGACTTGGGACGCGTCTTGATTCGCTTCGCTCTGTTCGCAGGCGACGTCGGCCTACGTGCGCGAGCTCCAGTTCGCGCTGGAAGGCGTCAACCCCAAGGGCGCCGCCAACCTCACCTTGGCCCTCGACTTCTCCTTCCGTCTGCTGGAGAAGGTAAGCCTCAAACGCGTCAGAGGTTGGTTCAAGCCCACCCGAACATCCTTGGTGACGCCCCGGTGCCGGTTCGCAGTACCGCCTCGAGGCGACGGGCGCCAACTGCAACCAGGCCATCATGCTGGTGACGGACCTGGTGCCGGAGCACGAGGAGGAGATCTTCAAGCTGTACAACCGGCCGGACAGGGCCAGCCCGCGCCACACCAACGTGCGCGTCTTCACATTCACCGTCACGGACGGCGCGCAGTCCGCCCCCAGGGAGGCGCAGTGGATGGCCTGCGCCAACATGGGTCAGCAAAACCAACTTCAGCAGTCTTAAATTCTGTCAAGTTCGACCTAAATTTCGGATCGATGAGCATCTCGCCATGTTTCGTGTTGGCAGGATGGCATGAGAAATTCTGGAAAAGCGCCACGCCCATGACGGCCCTCAAGTACATCCCCGTCATGGCGCGGCCGATGGTGCTCCAGGGCGCGCACCCGGTGCACTGGTCCCACATGTACCCCGACGTCACGGTGAGCCCCCCCAGCCTCTTCAGACTTGGAAATTATTTTCTATGCCCCCGCGCCACCAGCCACGAAGGGTCGTTTCGTAGCTCTGCCATGCGCCGTCCCGCAGGGGTGCGAGAGAGACAAAGCGACGAAACCACCCTCCGGAATCGCTCGGCCGCTCGGCCGCCAATCAACGGCGAGCACGGCTGCACGGCAGGGTGGCCGATGATTGGCCACCAGGAGGTAATGGGGTTCGGTTCGTGCAGGTCCCCGAGACGACGGACCAGCTCTGGGTGGCCATGCAGCGCGACGAGCAGCTGCGGAGGCTGACGCTGGTCTGCTTCAAGCACGACGAGGTGCACCGCGGCGCCCGGAAGCACTACCAACTCGATCGCACGGTCCGCGTCCAACGTTCCACCTTCTTTCGCAATTAATCGCCCCCCCTGTTCTACACCTTCCCTCTAACTGTCGCGCCTGCTCCGATTGCACAGGTTCCCGAGAAGGAACTCGGCCAGAGCGAGGAGTACGTCGTGACGGTCTCGGTGCCGGTGTTCAACCTCAGCTCGGCCGGGGTCAGTTTTTGAAATAATTTCCGGGTAAACGCTCGTGAACATGAACACTCAACGGCATGGGTTTCTGGTTTGCCGCCTTGGCGTCCTTGGCGCAGGTGGCGGAGGGCGCGCTGCTGGGCGTGGCGGGCATCGACGTCCCCGTGTCGCAGCTCACGGCCTTCATCTCCCCGCACAGGGTGGGCGTCAACGCCTACATCTTCATGGTGTCCAACAACGGCCTCGTCATCTTCCACCCCGACCTGCGGCCCAGGGTGAGTGCCGGGCATTCTCCGGTGGAGGGGGAAGGGGAGGGGGAGGGACTGGGAATGGAGCCTGCACGATCCCTGCCGCCTGTTCCAGTTCAACGGCATCCTCAAGCCGGGCTTCAACAGCCTGGACATGAGCGAGGTGGAGCAGGAGGACGTGCCGGATCCGCGCAACCTCAGCCAGGCCATGCAGAACGTGAGTGGTGAGGTGAAGCGCGTGAAGCTTGCTAACGCACCGCACTGCTTTCTGTACGTTTTCTTCCCTCCCACTAGTTCCGAGATCAAGTCGTCAAGCAGTACAAAGGCTCGGTCGTGCTGTCCGTCAGACAAACCTACAGAAACTGGGTACGTACTCGTCGGATGGGTCGCTTAGCCTACCGGCGCCTGTGCCGCCCGGTAGGTAGGCATCCCATTCGACTCCAAGGACCCCGTGTTGATGTTTGCTGTTGCTGCTGTTGCCGGACAGCGGCGCGTGGCTCGCATGGCGCGGCGCTACTACTTCCAAGGCGTGGACAACACCCCCTACAGCCTGGTCATGGCCACCCCGCTGGAGTACGGCACCGAGTGCGTCAAGGGCTCGCACGACAGCTCGCTCACGTCCGGTGAGTGCGGAACGACCAACCGGACAGAGGCTTCGCCGAGCTCACCCACCAATGGCATTCCCCGTCCGATGTTGCAGCCAAGCTGCTGAGCCTGCTGGGCTCGGAGTGGGGCCCGCACGGCGGCTGGGAGGTGCACCCCAACTGGACCTACTGCGGCTGCTGCGGGCAGCCCGGCCGGCTGGGCCTGGAGCGCCTCAGCCTGCGCGGCCAGAACTGCGACCGCGAGCTGGTGAACGCCCTGGCCATGGACGCGGACGTGACCAAGTTCTTCTCGGAGAGGATCAAGGACACGAGGTGAGGCTGCGTGCGGCGTGCGCCCGCCAAAAGGGTTGCCTACTTCGCCTTGGTCTGTCCCTGTTCATGTCGGATGTCCCCTGCTTGTCGCTTGGCTTGTCGCAGCGTGTGGGAGCGCTGGGACGTGTCCTCGGCCTTCGTGGCGACCCACAGTGGACTCACCCGCTGGACCAGCAGGCCCATCAACACCGTAGTCGATTCCGAGACGTAAGTGGGCCCAACTCGTTGGCAGTTCCGTTCAGTGTAAAATTTTGTTTCAAATTTGGCGCTTTTTGTCCGACTGCAGAGTGAAGTCACCAGTGCCTCCGCGGGGCCCCGACGAGCCGTGGTTCAAGCGCGCCGTGTCGTCGGCCTGGGCCGTGGTGGCCGCCGAGTCGGACAAGGCCGGCAAGCGGGGCGCGCAGCCCGGCGCCGCGCCGCACTGGGTGGTCACGGTGCCCATGCAGGACGAGGCGGAGTCCGACGTGTACAGCGAGTACACCGCGGCCTACGACGCGGACGACCCCTGGGCCGCGCGCAGGGCGGGCCTGGCCGACGGCTGGAACGGCGAGGAGAAGCCGAACACCACCGACTTTGTGAGTCACAACGGTCACACCGTGGCGCCTCCGAGAGGGAAGCGCTCCGCTCAGTCTGACAGGGTTTGCCATGTGCCGCAGGAAAAGGTGGAGTTGCTGGGCGAGCAGCTGGCGTCCATCACGGCGGCGCTCTTCAGGGGCAAGGCGCCGGCCGCCGTGGTCGGCGCCAACTTCCCCCTCACGATGCTGCAGCAGCTGTTCGATGAGATCACGGCCAAGACCAGGCTCGAGGTGAGTCTTAGCTCGGTTCCGCACGGGTTGTATGGCGGCGCGTGCAAGCAGCATCAAGCCCGGTCCCTTTCCAGATGACCGTTTCGATGGGCGAGCTGGACCTCTACCTGCTGGACGAGAACGCCATCGTGGTGGCGGACAAGACGGGCTTGAACGCGGGGCGGCCGCTCACCCTGGTCAACGGCAACCTCACGGCCAGACTGGAGGCGGCCCACATCTTCGAGCGCGTCACCGTGACCGACGTGCAGGGCGTGTGCCGGCGCCCCAAGAAGAGCTCGGCGGTGAGTACGACAGTCAGGATGGTCACGGCCTGCCCGGCCTGCCAACACGACGTTCTTGACGTCCTTGCTGTCCACAGGCGGCGTTGTCGCCGTCCCTCAGCGCGTCCATGCTCGGCACTGCCGCCCTCACCGCGCTGTGGTGGACGGGGACGCCGGGCGACGTGGCGCACCCCTTCATCGCGCACCCCCTGTACGTGTGCACCGCGGCAATGCTGCTCGGGGCGGCCAAGGCCAAGGACGCGTCCCCCAAGGTCAAAGGTAAGGCCTTCCCTTCCCGAAACTTCCAATCGAATCTTGAAGCCTCCCTCCGCTTCCCCTTGTTACATGTTGCTGTCCCGCAGCTCAAGCGTTCCGCGTCAACAAGACCACCCTGCAGCTGTGCGACATCAAGCTGCACCTGCACCGGGTCGGCGCGGGCCTGCACCAACACCACCGCGGCCAGGTGCAGCTCGGCTGCGACTCCAAGAAGTGAGTAGAAAACAACACCGTGCGTGCGCTGAACGAACTCGTGACGGTCGTAACTTGGCTGAACTCTGCCCCCTGCAGCGGCACCGCCAGGCCCGGAGTGCGGCCGTTCGTCGTGGCCGCCGTGCCGGGCACCAACCTCGTCCTGGTGGCGGCGCTCAACTCGTGCCCGGCGGTGGAGCAGTTCGAGCCCTTCAGGACCACGCCGTGGGAGGACGCGACGCCCGAGGGAAGCCCCATCTACCGGAAGATGGGCGCGCAGTGGCCGCGCCGCCGCCCCGGGGACTGCTACCGCCGCGACGACGGCGAGCGCAACATCCCGCACTGCGGGGGCGCGGTGCGCGTGCAGGGTGTCGGCGCCGTGCTCGGCCTCGCCGCCCTGGCGCACTTGTTGGTGGCGGCGGCGCTGGGGCACTAGTCACTGACTGACGCCTGACTGAATGAATGGACACATGGACTGCCACGTGTTACGGTGCGGGGTTCAAGTGAATTAAGGGGCTAGGTGTAAAAAAATAGGAAAACGACAACGTCCATTTGTATGAATGTAATATACACAGTTTACATACTAGTTTCTTATCAAGAACAATTAAAATATTATCAGACTGATGAGAACACACTGAAAGCCACTGAAAAATAAAGAGAAATTTATGCAGTGCTCTTCACAACACAGTCCGCCCAGCAAAACAGATATTTTATTTATACAATAGCTATTATAATAATATTTATATCTTGAATAAAATTTCCAAAAGAAATGTGCAAAATACATTGTAGCTAAAAAGTCAATTCATATGTCTTACGATAAAAAAAATTATGTTCTTTCTTAATTAGTTGGTAAGGATCTTTTTGGTGTTTGATTTGGATAGATCACACATTCGTACAGTATATGAATTTGACTCTGATTTATCACAATAAAAAAATGTTAAAACACTGAACAACTCAGTATAAATTTCAACCTCATCAAAGCCTTTGTAAAATGGTGTTACTCTCTAAAGTCTTCCATTCAAACAAAGTGTTGGATAATACTACTCAGAATGGCCACTTATCCTTACAAAGTACTTACATAAGTCCAATAAAATGAAAAGAAAACTTGGCAATGAGCCCTGAGATGTTTACACACATCAGTGACACTCATGGCACTGACAAGAACATGTAGCTATAGAAAGAGTGTATTTACAAAGCCAAAGCAACAAAGATGACATAGAAATTGTATTGAATGAATGAAAAACTTCTTGAATGTTTCCTACACCAAACATGAGGAATAACACAGGAAAATTACTTCTTTGAATGGGAGCAAAGAAATACAGTCAGCTTTGTGATTAAAACATTCGACTCAGTCAAAAGATAAACTATAAAAGGGCATACAGAATCTGAGCATTCAGCATTAACTACTACAATATTATGGAACAGAGTACGTCCCAGGCACCAAAGACAAGAAGATAGGTGGGAACAAAAGAATCACTGTTTCTCACATACACACTTTCACACAACATTCACTTATTAAGACAAGCTCTCTCTCTACAGTGCCGTCAAACCATGCGTAGACAACACATAAAATAAAACTGGCCATCAAGAAATAATTAAAACAAGGAAGAAGGAAAAGCAGAAACAAGATGGTAACATCACATAATAATAGTTTTTCACCTTCAAAATACCTAAATTTAAAACGGCCTTTTTTTCTTTTCTTTTTTTTCCTTTTTGATATTAACAAAATTATCAATGCAGCACTACAAGTGATAGCCTGGCTATAGAAGTGTGTGCGGTTACAATCTTTCCTCTTTCAGAAAGATTTTAGCCTTGGTTTTGCTTTTAAGATTTAAAAAAAGCCAGCATCAGAATTGGTTTGGGGCTGAATGCCTACTTTGACACAATATTAGGCCATTCTGTTGATTGCATTCAAAGCATGCTAAAACTTGTTGTCTCTAATCCAGCCCACGGTCTGGCTTGCAGAGAAGTGGCCCATGCGGCGACAGCGTCCAGCTGCAACATTGCACATACATTTTAAAACTCCTATCAATACAACAACAAAAACTAAGGCAATATTCAGTTTCTGTCAAAATCATACTTTGCCCGAGGGTTTGCAAATCTAATGCAGTCCCCCACAACACAGAGCACTTACATAAGACAAAAGCAGTTTCAGAGAGCAAAGAAAACACCACAATGAAAGCAAGAATAAGCATCAGTGAAAGACAACAATACAGTATGATGAAGCCTTCATAAGAGCTAAAGCAGAAGAAAGCAGTAGATAACAACAAAAAAAATTACACCAGAGATGAAAGCATAAGCTAAGTAAGCAAGTAATTTGATTTTTTATGGTTGGAAGCAGAAGCATTAGGATGTTGTCTGAAACGGCACCTTGTAAAAATTGCCAGCCACCACCAAAAAAATTTGGAGAAAACCAGGAAGCAAATAAAATAAAGATAACAAATCCTTTAATATACCTAAATTTCCGTTCATCTTGCTATGAGCTGGACACTCCCACACGAGATTGACGTACTGTAACAAGGGAGGAACAAACAAAATCAGATTGGGAAGCATTCCACACAAGCTGGTATTATACCAAACTGCAGCAGAAAAAGAAATGGACTGTCAAATATATTGTTTCTAAATGAAACATGCATTTAAATTTAAAAAAAAAAAAAAAAAATTCTGCTATATATAATAATACCAGCCGGTTCCAAGACTATAACATGCATAGTTCATTCATTTCGAACATCACACAAAACACACAGTTTTCATTGACAAGGTTTGACGTAGGTAGATGAATGAGGAGGGACTGGAACACTTTCTAAAAGACATGCCCACATTGTCATACTGGATTATCAACACGGACCAAAACACTTTTCTCACTCTCTCCAGCCCAAAACTACATTGGTGTTGAATTAATTAGGTGTGTTACTTGTACAGGGGAAGTCTGTCATTTCTTTGAAGCATAAAATGAATGACTTTCTATCAAAATTTAAACATATTGGGATTAAACCCTTGTTAATCAATGGCACAAAACACTGAAATTTTATTTAAAAAAAAAAAAGCATTGCAGCTAACACAAAAATTCCACGCATTGCCATTAACCAAGCAATATAAGGGGACCTACAAACTACAAAAGAAGTGAAATTAACCAAACTTGTTTGATTGTCACACTTTGCCAATGCTTTGGCAGCATCTAAAACACTGGGGTTATTTGTGCTAGCTTGGGCTGGATATGGAGAAGAGTGTTACAGGCTTGATTAATTAATCTGTTAGGTGTTAAAACCATGCCTGAAAAACAACCCCAAAAAATAAAAACAAACAGTTCATTAATTAGAATCCACAAGTGCAATGAATGAGGATCACAACATGGTGTTATTATATAAACTTTCTGAATTTTGTTAATTACATGCAAAACTGTAATAACTTGTTCAGTGGGTACACAACACATTAGTGATGTAGTGTGCAGAACTAATCGAACACATTGCAAGCATGACGGTCAATCAAGGCTATTACACATGGCTAACTGCTTCATATAAGTAAGTTGACAGGAATTTTATTGAAGTCATTGTAAAATTGTTCAACCTTCCACCGTAGACTGGCATTAACTTTGTGTTCTTATGATTTCGATGTAAGAGTATGTTAATTAATATTAATGCAGCATGTGCTATAGTTAGATTTTGAGAGCTACCATTGATAAGAATTATTAAAAAATACATGTCCAGCGGTGGAGGCCAACAAGACATGCATGTGAAACAGTTTAACTAAAAAGAATAATTCATGAAAGAAAAATTAAGAAGTCAAATATTAATGTTTTTAGGTGCATGTGTTTTCATTATACTGAAACATATCTGTATATGAGGCCCACCCCCCTAAAATTTAACAAGGCAATGCGAGGCATAAGCCAAAGCGAACATCTTTCAACACTGTAAACTCAACCAGTACCTCCATTTTACTTGATCATTTGCTTGTTTTTCCTGTGGCGATTATTAAAGAAACGGAATTGAAGTTGCAGATTGAGGTCTTTCCGTACTGTGGAAGAAAACCAAAGATAAGGTGGTCAATCAATTTCAATTTTACTGCGTGTGGATAGTGGACACATCATTGCTGTAGCTTACAAACTAATGAGATCATGTGTATGTGGACAAGACAAAATGTGTGGATGGTGATCTGAGTCGGTAGTTGGCCCCCACCACCATTTTTAACACACTGCAATGTTGTTTCATTTTCTAATTGACAAGCACTAAAAACAGCTACAAAAAATAAGACTAAATTGCTGCTATAAGCTAGAAAATTTAACAAAACTTTTAAGAGAGCCAAGCACTCATCAAACCACCCAAATTTAGAGCAAAACCTTTAAGTAATGTTATAATTCACTAAGCCAGTTTGTTACAGCCCAGTCTAGACGCGTGCCACTTGTCAGATGAGACGCAACCCCACACATAAAATCACACTTGATTGTAATAGCATGGGTACTTAAGATAGTAAGGTGATAAAATATTACATGCTTCGTTTTGTGCATGTTTTGAAATTGTCGGTTTTAAAATATTGTAAATTTATGAACAATAAAAATTCAGGCAACTAGGTTTACCTGGAACCAATCGCTAAAATTGACAAAGCCTCACTTTACTATCCTTGGAAGACAACATGAATGGTGACACAATGTCAAGGATATCCGTGCTCCAATTGAATTTGGTCATTCATGCCAACGGGAAGTACAGCAGAGAAGCTGAGCAATCGCTAGTGAGAACATTCTTAGCAATTAACCAGTCACACCTCAAATGAAGAACCCCATTAATCATTGAGTTGTGTTAGCACTGAGGCTGAAAGATGTTACTAAAATGCTCTCACTTCATGTTCTGTTTATTGACAACATTTTAAATACTGTTCTCAATAATTTGTCTAGCTCAAAAATATAAGGCACACACAGAGGTTTTCAATTCACGCACCATAATGATCACTCCAGCGCCAAAATAGAACCTGCATCTCAATGGAAGTACAACTCGTGCGGGACGTGAGGGTCGATGAATGCAGTGAAACCCACTTAATGGTAGGTTTCTGCTGATTGAAATTAGGTTCAATAGAGCAAGGATAGAAATAGGATTAAGCCAGAGGAAGCAAAGCCTGAGTGCAACATGCTATAAAATTTCGCCCTGCAATCTATTTTTCCCCATACCAAACAGTCATGAAACACAATGAAACATTATCTGGTCCCAATTCTGACATGCAATTCTACCCATTTCTAAATAATTTTCTTTTACAAAAACACAACCGAGCAAGTTATTGCTGGACAGTAGTATATTAATTTCTTAATCTATTCTGCTAAAAGATTTTTTTTTTTGCACCATTAAGCAAGAGAATTCAACTTATTTTTAAGGCTACACAACACAAAGTACAAGTTAATACAAAAAACAAAAATGGCTGAAGCTGAATTTAGAGGAAATAAACAAATTCATATTCCCCAAGAGAAAATTTAATACTGCAACTAACCAACTAGCTTCTATTATTGAAAATTTTGAAAACACAATCATACTGTTTTACGCTTTTTTAGGTGCACTGTCAATAGCATGCTCAAGTAATTTCAATCTTTAATAGATTCAACTCTTTCAAAGTCAAAATATGTTTCTGATATGCTTCAAACTTTCATGATGTGGTAAATGTCTTTGACGGCCATGCATTGTATTAAGAGTATACCCTATTTTGAAGGACTTCTCACCTTACACACACACTACAAGTCCATTCATAATTAAAAAGAAAACTAAAGAAAAATAAATTTAAAAAAAAGGGGCGAGTGAAAGGAGCTTACATCCACACTTCAAATGGCAAGTGTAGAGAAAAGTTCCTCTTACTTCAAAAAATATTTGTAATTTTTGACAGATTGGGTGCGAGAAAGAAAGCAGAAATTAGAAAAAAGAAAAGAGAAAAAGAAGAAAATGTACAACTACACAACAAACACGCAGCAAGCGCAGGCATGCTGCAGAGTGCCCAGCAGTACCCTGCTCATATGGGCTCAGACGGAGTCTCATCAGCAGGATAAGATGGATCTGAAGACAAAGGGGCAACTGGTTCAGGAGTTTCAGACATGGGAGGTTCAGGGGTGAGAGGCTGAGGAGATGGAGAGGGAGAAAGTGAGGAGATGGACTCTGGGACCTCAATATTTTGTTTAAGAGATGCACGAGGCAGTCGAATTGTTGCGGCACACCTTACTTCCTGAATCTCCCTCCTCCCTGCAATGGTTAACTCATGTTAATTTTCCTTCGTTAAGCAACCTATGATCTAAGTATGTAAAACCAACACTGACATAAAATAAACTCAAGCTCTACATGTGAAAGCTTATATGTTTACTTGTATTATAAGATAAAAGATAACCAGCTAGATGTACAGAGCGGAAAGTCAAGACTAATAACTAATAACTAAGAAATAGTCCTACAGCCAAGAGAGATACTGTCACAAGCAATTCAAAATACATCTATAAGATAAGGGCAATGGTCAACAATAGGTAGTTTGAAATGCTTTGACCGGAATTTCTGTTTATCTATGATGTTTGGTCCACAATATAAAACATTGCTAGCGATTGAAAAAACAGGTAAAGAAGGATGGTGAAAATCTCAGAAAAGGTGGTAGGGGCCACATTACTTTGTAGCTTTGCCAAGGTTGTTGTGAGCCTGAAGAGACCACAAGCTTTCCTAGCATTCTAATCGATTGAAAGGACAGAAAGTCTTCATGTATTTTTAAACCTCCCCAACATCTCCAAGAGGTGAGCACAGGAACAAATTTAGCTGGATTTAAACAGATACCCCTGCTCAGGTGATACACATCTTGAAAGAGTGAGGATTTTACAAGTTGTGGTGCAGACAAGCAATCAATAAGCAATAACATTGGGACCATCTAATCATTAAAACCTCGATCAAGAGCTGTCAAAAAAGAAGAAAAAAGTGCTAAGGGAGCAATAAAAGATGATGATGAATTCAGCCTCCATGCCCACTGCCTGAAAAATTCTGTATTAGACAAAGGACACTCTAAACTGGAGATGCAGGTTGTACTGGCAGAGGTCCTGTTGGAATGGTATCAAAAGGTCTCTCAGTGTAAACCTCAAGAATTAGATACTCACTCCTATCTATGTTACGCTGGAGATGGGATGCAACACGGTGACGAGCATCGTTGTACTCGAGATGTAGTCCAAGCCGAAGAAGTGATGGGTTAGCTTCAACAAGTTGGGTAATTTCCATTTCAATCTTGTTTCCCAAAACTTGTGACCGCTGTGAAAGCAATAAAATATCTCATATAAGCTGAGATGATGATATTTGTGAGAAAAAGAACAGGGAAATGATCAAAGTACCTGATTAGCAGCCCGGAGTTCCTCAATGGTGCGTGATTTGAGCAGTGCCTTCACTATCTTAACAATTACTGGAGGGCTGACAAAGTTAGTTTCCATGCTGAAATTTAATGAAACACAAAAGTGAATAAAAAGGGTGCATCATGTATAAAGTAAACAAATAAAAACAGTCTGTTCAGAAACTCACTTCAGAACTCGAAGAGTCTGATTTCTCTCCAAAGCCTCAGCAAGCTTCAGAGCGACTCGGTCAGTCAAACCTACGTTCGTTAGATTCAAAACTTCCAAATGAGTGTTTTCAGGCAGGGCTTCGAACAGGCTTTCAAACTTCTCATCAGAAATATTCTAGAAAGATCAGTTTTAACAAAACAAATGTTAAGAAAGATGCAACATGTTATTACCCAAAAAAGTGTCATAAACTAATCCCACATTACCTTTATATTGTTCCAGTTAAGGTCTGTAAGGGTGTGGTCATCTTCCTGAACTTGTCGAATGGTTTTGTCAATGTCTGTCAAGTTTGGTGGCTCTGCAGGGTATGCTTTTGGCTGTGTTGCCTTTGTGACACCATCCCAACCAAGACCAATGGGTTGACCCTTGTTCAGGAGTGAGGCATGGTATTGATCTTGATTCATCATGGAGTGGAAGCCCAAAATAGCTGAAAAAATTGAAAATAGTTGATTTGGACAATCTGGTCTGGTAAGATAAATTACAATCAAATAAAGTAGTAATGTTAAAACAATGCAAGTAAAATTTCATGACATTTTAAAAAGTTTTGGTTTTATTTTATCAGAGATATTATTACCTGCCAAGTCAATGATTTCCTCTTGGGTAGCATCATTTAGAGCGTGCTCATATTCATCTCCCATATCAATAGCGATTTGCTCATCTGCTTCACGTTCTTTTTCAGACTGTTCTGGTGGTTCCCACTGAAAACAACAAAATTGTAAATGTTTAAAAGGGTCGAAATTTTGCAAAAAGATAACAAACAGTATAAGCCAAGAAACGATACATACCTTCTTTCCACGAATAACACCAGCGACAAACGGCTTCGCCTCGGGCCGGTCAGGTGTTTCCAAGGCTTGCTTATTAATGTGCTCAATGAGTTTCTTTCGGTCGAGAGGACCAGTGGGTTCTTTCTCACACTCATAGCTGCACCTCTGAGATGGTGGAAGGAGGTTGTCCTGAAATTGACACAGATTTGTTAAGTCGTTTGGTCAGGACTGCTATTGGAAGTATAAATAATAAACAATCAGATTCTTAAGCATTTTAAGACATTCATAAGCACTCACATCTGGATCGACTTCCTTGGCCAGAAGAGATATTTCTTCTGGGCTGAGTTGCGAGAGCAATGTGTCTACATCCAAATCATCGTAGACAGACAGGTCCTTGCCATATAATTTGGCAGCCTGAGTGGTCATAGTAGTGGTGGTGGTGGTCGACGATGTCTGGAGAAAAGAAACATTTACAATTAGTTCGCAAATTAGAATTAACTCTCAGATACACAGTGCTTTCAAAAAGCAGCTATGTGATTTGATTCAGAAGTATTGCTCCATACGGGACGAAGTTTAAAAACATAAGAACCTATTCCGTTACAGAAGCTATTTATAGAGGATGAGTCGCATATCACAGTGACAAAGTAATGTTCACTAACTAAGACATCTTTAAATCTAGTAGCCATTGTGGGTCAGGTTTCCATGAAACTAACTATTTTGGAGCGTCTGCTAGAGATAACCGGGTAAAAACAACGGAACCCATACGGCCTTAACCTCACAAATGACAAGTGGCCTCTGCTGTCAAGGTAATGAATCACCACAACACACGCACGGACAAGAACTCGCAGCCCACTGAGGACTCGCCTTCCTGCAAAGCCTCACCGAGGGCGTTCGTTGATTACTAAAACTAGCAGTCTAACCGGGGCGAAAATGTCGCGACTAGACCAGGGCGTGTGAGATGACACAGTTCTGCTTGAGTTGCGGATCGATGAAGGCGAATCATGCGAAGCCCAACCCAACCAAGCCCCGCCAGGAAGACGTGTGTATGTTCGGCAGCTGCGTCTGCGACAAGCGCACGCGTCACCGACGTCCCACCGTCACTTACACTCGAATCAAGCGAAAAATTCCTTGATCAAACCGCGTCCTACGCCCACTCCAGGTACTTTCCTAGTGTTGACTTTTTGTCTTTTTTTATTGTTATTTGCAGGATGGGACGCGGGGGGTAGGGAAGAGGGGGTGGAGGGGAGGAGCTCCACGTTAGCCAGCAACAAAGATTGAACACGGAGTCTGGGATTTGCGGAAAGGACCTCTTGAACAGTATTTCAGGATGAGACTCCGCAACGAGTCACTCGCCCCTGCCCAAATTGCAAAGTATTTAGCTGCTTGTCAGAGTTCTCGGCCGTCACCGGGGCCCTCTCCCCTCCAGCAGTTCTCCAGTCGGCCAGCGCCGTGTGTGGCATCACTGCGGCCGGCCGTCGCGCGCGGCGGTTCGAACCGCCACGCGGCTAGGCAGACAGGCCAGGCGAACAGGCCAGGCGGCGCGACACCGCAACCGCAATCCTAGATCCCAGATCCTAGATCCCAGATCCTAGATCCTAGAGGACACGGGGCCTGGCTCCTGGCTGCCGTTGTTTTCGTGCAGCCTCACTGACGGCCGCCAGGGCCTCGGGGGCGGGGCGGGGGCGGGGCGGGGCCGTCAGAGGCCAGTGTCACTAGCGATGCCGACCTGGCTAATCACCGCCTCGCCCCGCCCCGCCCCGCCACAGCCCTGGCGGACGCAGCCTTGGAGAGGACCTAATGGCCAGCAGTGTGGTGCCAAAACAAACAGTTGCTGCAGGGGTGCTTTTAAAATACCGAATAGCGCGCGCCGCTGCCGGAATTCGAACCTGTGACCCGACACTGTAAGTCCGGCGTGGCCTGCCGCAGACCAGCGTCATCTGTAGCAGTCGAGACGACCGACTGGAGGGCCTAAAGTCAAAGGGTGACCGTGGATCGTAGTGGGGTGCAGGTCATGGGGGCAAAAGCAGCGAGGTTGGGCGTTCGAGGTTCGGAGTTTGTCCCCACCGGATGAGTCACCGCTTACTTCGGCCATGGCGGCGGTGCGTCTCCACTCCTCGACACTGCACTGATTGACGAAGACTGATAGGACGTCGCGCTGGGCGTCGCGAGCTGGCGAGACTCCGCGAGTGGCGTCGCGGGGCGTGCTCGTTGCGCGTCGGCGGCGGGTCCGGGCGCGAGCGGGCGCGAGCGCTAACTGCGACCAGGTCGAGGGAGTCGCGGCCGCCGCGCCGCCGGAGCCAGGCTGCGCCTCAGGCACACCTGGAGTGGGCGCTGCCGCGGGCAGTGGCGGGGCGAGGCGGGGCGGGGCGGGGCGGCGTCCCTTCACCGCCCCGCCCCGCCACAGGCGACGCGACGCGCCGCGACGCCGGCCCGGCAAACACTCGGCGCCGCACTCCTCGGACTCGACCTGTCCGAGGACAGGCCGCCATGCCCATGCCTTGCCCATGCCTTGCCAGGGTTGCCACTCGACGGGCAAGTGCAAATGTGGAGAGGAAAAGAAAGCGGCTTCGCCTACTTTGTCTACAGCAGGTCCCCTCTGGATCCTCTGGATGTGGCCCGTCTAGCGAGCCTCGCCGCGCCCCCCTGTGGCCTTCAGTAAACCTCCAGCGTGGTTCCAGCGTGCTTCCAGCAAGCAGCTGAAGGCAGCCGTGAGGCAGAATAGCGATGTGGAGATAGTCGTGATCTTGGTCGCGTGGGCGGCTCCGGTTCCAGGTTCCAGGCTCCAGTCGCCCGGCGCCGTGCTGCCGCCTCGTTCCAAAGGATCGTTTCGTCACCCGTCTCTCTCGCACCCCACGTGACGCCCCGCGAGTGTGAGAGAGACAGAGCGACGAAACGTCCCTTCGGAATGGAGTGCTACAGTGCCACCTCACGGACACCCGGACCCAGGCTAGCAGATTGCAGCCGGAGGTATCGGCGGGCGCGGCGCGGCGTGGCGCGGCGGGGCGTGGCGGCAGTGCCTGATCAAGGCTGTGCAGTGTAGCGCCGCGTGCGTGTGTGTGTGTGTGTGTGTGTGTGTGTGCCTTGTTGTGCCGCGACCGGAGCACAGCGCCACAGCGCGCAGCATCCACTTCCGTTCGGCCAGTTGGCCTAGAAACGGAACGGCGCGGCCCTGCACGCCCTGCACGCCCCTGCCGCACCGCGCTGTCCTGCACGGCCCTTCCCATTGTACCGCGCAGCGCATGGAGGGCGTCGCGTCGCAGGGCTGGGGGCGGGGCGGGGCGGGGCGGGGCGGGCGGGCGGGGCGGGGCGGGGCGTTGCAGTGCAGCAGCAGGCACGCCTAGGCCGGCCGGGACGGCCTCCGCCTGCCGCCTGTCTCTGCCGCCCGGGCTGGCGGGCTGGCGGGGCTCCTCGTTCACGTTCAGCGAGGACGGCAACGGGCGTGGCGTCTTTACTTTCTACGGCCCTGGCCATGCCGCCGCCATGCCGCCGCCGTGCCGCCGTGTTGCTGCAGTAACCGCAGAGCGACGCGCGGCGACGCGCAAACAATAAAGTTTGAAAAGCTTTCCGACGGACCTGCCGCTAGGGCTACTGCGCTGCTGCGCTTCCCTCCCTCGGCGTTACATCGGCGGGACTCTGGCTTGAAAGGCGCGGTGGGAACGGGGAACCCAGCATGCTCGCAAGAGTGACATGAACGCGGAGCAGTTCGCCCTCTCATTGCGTCGTCTGCTGCAAGAGAAACCTGCCTTTATGCTTTGATTCCCAGCCGCTGCGCAGCACGCGCGCCGCGCGCCGACAGCAACGAGCCTATCTATCGGGCGGCCGCAGCGTCACGGCACGCCTTCCGCACAGTGGATGGAACGACGCGCGTCTCCAAATTAGTGGCCGCGTTGGCGGACTGCTCCAGCGGACAAACAGCAAACAGGAAGGCGGGGCCGCGGGGCCGCGACATCTGCAGACGGCTCTGGATGGCTCGGTGCACCGGGCACGTCGCAGCTGGCTCGTCCCAGTGCCCCACTGGAGTGGCCACTGGAGTGCCGCGCGCTGCAGCCGCGGGCAAGGCGGTCGTAAACCAAGCCGGGCACCCGGACAACGAAACCCGCCATTCATCCGCCATCTGCCTGCAACCCTCGGCAACCCTGCTGCAACCGCGTGACCGCGGCCTGGCGGACCATTTGATCTCCAGCGTTCCGCGCCGCGACCCCCCGCCGCTCGCGCACTCCACTCCGACCAGTACCGCACGAACCATAACCAATCGACGAGGAATGCCCATGCTCGCGCCGCTCGCGCCGCACCGCGCCATACCAACGACATTGCTGCCGGCCAGCTCCAGCCGGCCGCGGCCACTACTCGTCCAGCGGCGCGATGACGTCACACGCGGCGTGCGTGCGTGTGTGTGTCGGTGCCCTTGACTCGTATCCCCCTCCCCGCGCGCCCTTCGTAGTACACTGCGTCGGTACTGCACGCTTTCTCTCGGTGCGGTGCGGGTACCCGCGTAGGTACCCGATCTGGATGCAGTCCTCGAAAGGGCGGGCCGACGGAGAAAGATGACATCGCTATGCAGGCGAGCCGCGCGCCGCGTGTCGGACGGAGACAGAAGAATGGAAGAATGGAAGATAAAGGGCAGGAAAGAGAGAGATGGGGTCGTGGCTCATCAGGCGATGACCAGCACGCCGCCGTGGACGCGGTGGACGCCGTCGTTGCGTAAGGGACCGTTTTATTTCTCCAGGCTGACAATGCCGAGGCGAAGGCGAGAGGCGCGCGCGGCACGGCACGGCGCGGCACGGCACGGCGCGGCACGGCATGGGGCATCGCAGCCCATTTTGGAAGAGAATGGCCCGGGCCGGCCTGGCCCTCTTTGTCTCTCTAAATGTCTCTCTGTCTCTCTACGCGCCTGGCCTGCCTGGCCTGGCCGCGCGCTCAAGGCACCAAGCCGTGGCGGGGCGCGGGGCCGCGCCGGGGTTAATGGAAAGGCGAAGGTCGGGAGGCGCCGCGACGAACAACAACTGCTGTACCGACTCGCTCGGACACTCCAAGACTCCAACACTGCCGTCGCCGCTGAACTTCGACCGACGCCAGCGCCCCTAGCGGGCCTCGCGGCACCCTGCGAACTGGACTAATTAAGCGTAGTAGCGGGGTCGCGCGACCGCGAGGCGAGGCGAGGCGAGTCCCAGAGCAAAACTAACGACCAAGTCCGGGACAATTTCTCCGGGCCGCTGCCTCGGTGCTCCGCTTCCTCCTGGCGATGGGGGCTGCGACCATGCTGCGACCCAGCCACCCGGCACAGCGGGCCGCGCGGTGGGCTGGCGGGGCTGGCGGGGCTGGCGGCATGCTGCTGCTGGCGGCAGGCCTGCGGCAGGTGACCCGATGAAAGTGGGAGATGGACGATGAAGTGGGGCACCTGTTCCTCCTCGAGGCGGAAGGCACAGGGCGCACGCCGCTCGGCGGGGGCATCG